ATAGACTGCCAGAAGAACAAACCAATCTGCATTGGAAGAAGTACAACCAGAATGTTCCTTAGTAGCCACAGGATGGCCACACTTTCTCTCTTAGACTTTGGACATATTATCAAAAGGGACTTCCTGCTTGATAAAGTGTTCAAGAGCAAAGATGTCAGTTTGTTGGAGATGAATAGTAAAAGTGCCAAGGGCTGCCAGAAAAACACAAATCTATGTTGGAAGAAATAGAGCCAAAATAGAGCTATGTAGCAGCCACGAGGGCTTCTCCTACTTCGGACATGTTTATCAAGAGGGACCAATCTCTGGAAAAGGACATCATGTTAGGCAAAGTGAAGGGTCAGCAAAAAAGAGGAAGACCCGCCACTGTATGGAATGGCACAGTGGCAGCAGCAATGGGCTCAGGGGTAACAACGATTGTGAGGATATCGCAGGACTGGACAGTGTTTCATTCTATTGTGCATAAGGTCATTATGAGAACCAACTCCAGGCACCTAACAATATCACCAAATCCAATGACTGTTTGACTTGGTAGTGTTTTGGTCCTAACTCTTACAACCCTTCCTACCCTGGGCTGAGGTAATTCTCCAGGGCTGTCTTCCCATCTCTAATTACTCTCCTCTGCTTCACTGATTCATTCCAGGTCTGTTCCTTATGAGTAAGATGATTAGAGTGAACTGAATTGCTTTTCTCCCAAACATTCATGCCACCCTCCTCCTTGTACAGCAACTATGCTGTTTGGGTAGGCCTGACCCTGACCCACCTCCAGGCATACGCCCTGACTGATCTTAGAAGTTCCTAGGTGATGTAGTTGGTAACCATATTTTTTGCAACTAGCATGCCCAAGTAAATAACACACACACACATAAAACCTGTGGAAATGACTGTTATGTAAAAAGTTCTGGTGTAGCATATATCCATGCGTATACCCACATATTTCTTATGACATTTCCAAAAGTGAATTTCAGCTTAGTACTCTGAAATGCTACTTTTGACCATATTTGTATTGTTAAGGTATAAGCAATGGTCAGAAGTCATGGATCTAATTTGATAGTTCTCTAGTAATTGGGAAATAAACCATTTATATTATGTGTTTGTTTCTGTTCATTTAAGTTGATAATTATCCCAGTCAATTCTGAGTCATCGGAAACTTGAACTGACCGAAGCCTGTCCATCAATCACGTCCATCAACTGGAAGCAAAAACAAAGTGAAGCCTGCGTGGCATAAGTGGCTATCAGTCGGAATCTCGAGTCAGTCTTCACTGACATAATTATTACAATTGTCTTCTAACTCAAGATTTTAACTGAAGAGGAAAGAGTAAAACAAAATTAATACACAATCACTTTTGGCTCAACTGTTGAATGAGAAAATCTTATTGGATCATCTTAAATGAAACCATTACGCTATGTCTTCAAAACCAAACCAAACCAAACCCAACCCACTGCCCCAAAGTCGATTCTAGCCCCTAGCAATCCTATGTTGTTATGAAGTGCCATCAAGTCCTTTCCAAGCCTGTACAGAGTTTCCGAGGAGCCGCTGGTGGGTTTGAACCACTGAATTTGTGGTTAGCAGTCCAGTGCTTATCCTACTATGACACAACAGGACTCTATGCAATTCTACAGCAATCCTCTAGGCCAGAGTAGACCTGCTCCCTAGCGTTTCTGAGACCATAAATCATTATGGGAGCAAATAGCTTCATCTTTCTCCCAAGAAGGGGCTGGTGAGTTTAAATTGCCGACTTTCCAGTTAGCAGCCTAATGTCTAACCCACAGCACTATGAGGATTCCTTAAGCTATGTTGTTGTTGTTGTTGTTGTTAGGTGCCATCGAGTCAGTACTGACTCACAGCAGCCCTATGCACAACAGAAGGAAACACTTCATGGTCCTGGGCCAACCTCACAATTGTTGCCACGCTTGAGCCCACTGATGCTGCCATTTTGCCAATCCATCTCACTAGGGATCTTCCTCTTTTTCTCTGACCCTCCTCCTTACCAAACATGATATCCTTCTCCAGCGTCTGGTCCCTCCTGACAGTATGCCCAAAGTATGAGAGACGAAGTTTGGTCATCCTGGTCTCCAAGGAGCACTCTGGCTGCACTTCTTCCAATCACTACCATGGCTTGGGTCAGGCACACCTTAGTCCTCAAGCTGACATCTTTGCTCTTCAACACTTTAGAAAGGTCTTGTGCAGCAGATTTGCCTAATGCAATACGTCGTTTGATTTCTTGACTGCTGCTTCCGTGAGTGTTGATAGTTGATCCAAGAAGAATGAAGTCCTTGACAACTTCGATCTTTTCTCCAATGATAAGAATGTTGTTTATTGGTCCAGTGGTAGGTCTTATTTCATAGTCTAATTATGTCATATCAGCACCAATGTCTTTGATTAATGACCACAACCTCAGTCAGAACCAATTCCACAGCAAACAACAACAAAGATTTACAGCTTCATAGAATTTTTTATGATTTTTTTTTTTTTTCAAAAGAAGAGTAGATTTCCAGGGTTTTCTTCCAAGGTATCTCTTTGGGTAAAGAGCCACCAACTTCTCA